ATATCCAACTCACATGTTATTGCTATTTATGTTGTTTGTTATTGTTACTGACGTGTCCTATACATTTTTATATGTCCACAGGAAATAAAGATTATTATTATTATTATTATTACATAGATCTCTCTGAGATAGTGTCAATAAAAAGCACTTTTTGGGAGCGTCCTCAAGTGGTAGGTTTCAATCTAAAATTAATTCGAGTTAGGGGATGCTGCAGGTAATAATAATATGCTTGTATGTTCAAATTGGTTTTTCTTTCGTATTGGCCAACGCACTTCGTATTAGGGGTTCAATATAACTTCATGGATGAGATTGTTTATGAACTGTTCGCAAAAATGAAAATTATTGGCAATTATAACCTTTTTAAATTTTGGATTCTACAGTAATGATCGATGTTAGATCACTTTTTATTAAATCATAAGATGTACCCAAGTTCTCCTATAAATATGCGAATGTTTTTCAGGTAGTAAGGAATGTGCTGCGTTACCCTACGATGTTCAATGGAAGAGACGAATGGATTACGGACGTACTGGTTCCTGCTTTGGAAACTTTATCGCCCCAGTTACTACCCATCGCAATTGAGGTCGGAGGTGAAATAATCTGCCAGTCAAGTTCTCAATTCGTTCATTTCATCTCAAGTGTTAACGACGAGACTGTGTTCGAAGTATGTTGTTTGTCCTGCAGAAAAGAGTATTATAACGTAAATGAGAAGTACGAACTCGAGACTATATTAGAAAAAAGTGCGAAATCGCAAATGGCGTATGCTGTTAGTAAACCGGTACACGGAAATTGTGAAACAGTATTTAGATTGCTGAAACATATCTTGAAGCACTGTGCCAGTAACGATTCCAATGTAAAAATATCTATAATTAAGACTATGCACAGTTTTACTCACTTATTGCCATTTTATGATGTTAGTGGCATGTCATGTTGGTTCAAATTTGCGGATGATCGAGACGTGATGGTTAGAAGAGAATTTTCTAAAGTGGTGAAAGTCATATTCGTTGCCATTTCGGTAAGTGTTTGTTTTTTGATTTATTTTTATTGCATCAATTATGCTGATGAGATAACCATGCAAGTTACATCCTCCTGAGAGCGATTTAAGCTCAGAAATACTGAATGCAGTAATTAATTTTGTAAACTGCGCAAATCAAAGCCATTTCTTTGTTTTGTAGTAGGTTTACGCAATCGACATCAACTATTTCAAAGCATAGACTGGCATAGATGTCTGTACCACAAATTTTGTTGATCTTTTAGCATTTGCTTCTTTTCTTTTCTATTTCAGGAAAGCAAAGTCATATCAAATGAGGACAAAAATGAAATGTTTAAGACTTGTTTCTTGGAATTGCAAAAGTACTCCGAACAATCTGTACACAAATCGAATTACGAGCTACAAGAAACTCTATTGACCACCATAAGTGAATTGTCCAAGCTGTCATTGCCCATAACCACACGTTACGTGTCGCAGATCTTACTGTACTTTATTATGTATCCGACTTCGAAACATTACTTAATTGCGTTGAATATATTCATGGAAATGGCTCATCTGCAGAACACAACTACCGCTTTAATCTACGCACAGCACCGTCAGCAACTGTGCAGTAACATCATGAAAATTTGCGCTATTAATTTGGCCGTCATAGGTTACAGTCTATCAACGTCACTAGAAAGAATATCGACAGTTCTCGGCTTTTATGGTCCCAAAGATTTTGTTATGAAGGAAAGTCGTTCGCTGTTACCCGTCCTGATCTCAATGATAGTCATCATGCCTCAGGTCGAAAGGCTCGTAGAGGAGTTCGCCAAGTTGGAAGAAATGAGCGTGAAGGACTTATTGATCAGCAAATATGGGAATATTTTCCTACACATATTTCTGAACGAGACTGAAGACATGTTCAAACGGTTGATGAGGTACATTGAGGAGAAGACCGGATGTAGTGGCAGAACATTACGGAAGAAAGATCTCTTGGTAAGTGTAAGCTTGAATGGGATTGATATCAAAAGAAAACGTTTTAAAAATGCCATTTTGTGGCATTCCATCCTACAATATTAGAACCTCATAAAAAGAAAAACCCCGGACCAAATCCTATGAACTTTTAGTATGTTGCCATTGAACCTTTCCGAATCCACATTGGCTACAGTGAAAGTTGTGTGAACCAGAAGAATACATTCTAGTCCCCTTTGAAACAAAAACTGCGTTTGGTTCCAAATTGGCTTACAAAAAAAGAACGATACGTTTGCGCCGCATTACATTTCGAAAAGTATGATGCGCACAAGCAGCCACAAAATTGAAATTTTGGAAATAAAATTGTCACGTGATAGCAAAGGATCAATTAAACATACCTACTAAAATTGGATATGTAGTTGGTCAGGTGGGTTTCAATTTATGAGGCTCATTTGAGACAAGCCCCAATAAAATCCGTCAAATGGTTATTTTGTTATTATCAAACTCAAATCTGCATACTTCCGTCATTGACAGTAGTTGAATTGGGAGCGAGGAGTCGATCTTAGTTGTAGCATTAATGTAAATTGCAGGTTATTTTAAGCGATCTGTTGCTAAACTTCCACGAATATCGAGACCGAGTGCTAGTAGGCCTACGTATTTTGGCGACTGACGATTCCGACGGCCCCCCAATCGGCATCAACCGAATTCCCGAATATTTGCAACCGAAACTTTTAGGCGTCCTCGGTAATTTCGACATGAAATTGGTTTTGCTTCGTTATTTGGATGTCGAGAAGGTTCTGTTGAGCCTCGCCGAGCTCGTGACCTTTATGGGACCGAAGTACATTACGCCTTTGCGTTTTAAAATTTTTGCCATGTTGAAGACGGCTTTGAATTCGAACGAGGTTAGCGGCCAGCTGCATTGCGACGTGTGGGAGGCTTTCCTCAAAAGTTGCGAAATTGAATCGCTCGGCCCGCAGTTGGCGTCAATTTTCGTGTTTCTGATACCTCTACTAGAAAATCAACCGAAAGTTACGGCGATATTTCGATATCTAATCATAGAAAAGGAGGCCTACGTTAAGGACTATATTTGTGACTTGTTTTTCTTGCTGGAAGGCACTGTAGGTGGTGATATTTGCGTTGTTATCGAGAAATACTTAAAGCGTGTGCAAGGCTTACCGTTTCGAGAACATTTGAGCGCATTTTTAAAATATTTAAATCACGAAACTGTCGAAATTCGAGTGCACGGTTTGAAGTACATCAAACGGCTATTGGAAACCAACAGAGAAGAGTTAGATCGGATGATATTGGGTTACAATGGTATCGATCCAATCATTGTTAGTCTTTTGGACGTACTCATGCTCGCTTGCCGCGACAAAGAGGACCTTATCAAGTTGGCTTGCGGCGAGTGTCTTGGGGAGCTGGGCGCAATCGAACCTAGTCACTTACCGAGGCAGTACAAAACTGAAACACAGTCATTTATTTTTTTCATCACAGAGGATAGTTTTATTGTTAGCGCTTTAAATGAATTAACTCGAGCTTTGCAAGCGGAAAAGAACACGCGGGTAAGTCGTAGAGGATTAAAAGCGCCACTTAATCATTCTTTTGCTTAAAGAAAATGGACCGTTTTGCGTTGGCAATACAAGAAGCTTTGAAATATTATGAAATATCTCCTGACCCGAGCAGTCGCAAACACAAACTTTGGATGGATTTCCCTGATAGTCAAAAAGAACTTATGCTGCCAATGTTATCTTCACGTTATACGTTGCTGCAACCAAAACAAAAAATTCCGGTTTCGCCAATATACGGATCCAAGTATGGTTCAACTTACGATCTATGGATTTCTAAGTAAGCTTGTTAAGAATCACTCGGTATTAAAAATGCACGAGAGAAATTGCTGAACAGTTCCTAAGCCGATCGCGAGATGGAACACTTTCAACGCCCTACGAATTGTAATTAAGCAGTAAACTTGCCGATGTCGCTTTTGAAGGTTCTCTGGCATACTTTGTTTGTTTAGAGTAGAGTCACATGTTTAACATGAACTTTTGAGCAAATGCTCTCTAGATACCACTTACATTTCGTTGTCTGTTCCACAAATTAATATTGTTTTTCCCACTCCCACTAGTTGGACAAGTAATTTAACTTTGGAAATGAAGGTGGACGAACGATCCGTGGTGCAGGTATGTTTGCCAAGTTTGCACCAAGACCATAATACCTTAATGGTCTTCCTACCACATATCCTATTGCACGCATTGTTAGATGGTAGTCAGGCGTCTCATGACGATATTTTCGCCGAGTTCACGGCGGTAATCGATACTTACACCAATAGAGAGGCCAGCGTGCCGATAGCGTCTTTACCTAGCGGCACACCTATCTCGAGCAATACTGTTTCGCCGGAAGAAAAGGTTGTATTCGTTCTTTTGGATTTTTTGGATCGTTGGATTAGGGAATGGACATGGAAAGGGCCGAAATCTGCCAACGAAGAAGAATGTCGAATAATTAAGGTACTTACGCGTCTTTGACTTTGAATAAAATTAATTTTTTTAGTCATTTTTAACTCGTTTTTGCAAGCTGAAGTTGGCTCGCTCAAATTGCCGATGTGGGGAGTATGCTAGGGCGCTGATGTACTTCGAGGAGTACATTAGTGAGCACTCTGACCAACTGAAAAATCATCTGCCACTCTTTACCGAGGTATTACTACAGTTTTAATATCAGCAGTTAATTAATGATTCTAGCTTTACGCTCAACTGGACGAACCAGATGGTGTAGAAGGAGTAACCACAATTCATGATAAAGAACCGCCCATTGAACAAAAATTGTTGGCATTAGAAGTGTCTGGAAAATTAACTGATGCAATAGCTCACTACGAACAGATACCCGCACCGCTCAAATTGCATCACCTACAAGTACATTTTTGTAAACTAGAAAGTTAAATGTTATTAATTTCGGATTGCAGTGTTTGGTACAATGCTATTTAGATTTGGAGAACGTACACGCGGCGCTAAATTACGTCCGCGGGTATGTGCATTCGTATCCGACTTACAATAAAAATGTGTTATTAGAAATGCAAGCCGAACCTCTCCTACGTTTAGGACGCTATTCAGACCTAGATGAGTTACTTAAAAAGCCGGAAATGCGATGTAATCACAGTTGGAGCTTAGAAGTGGGGAGATCACTGTTGTATCTTCAAGATGGTAGGCCTAATTATTCTCAGGTCTTGTTGTGCAACATAAATATTTTATCAGACAACATAAAATTTATTGTACTACTCTTATTGATTCTTTAGAACATTCTCGACCAGTTGCATCATATTCTGCTTACTTTAGAATAATCCACATTAATAGACTCATTTTCATTTCTGATTGAACAAACCAAAGAATTAATCAATTGTAAATTTGTGTCTTTCATTGCAGGCAAAATGGATGAGTTTAATAACATTTTAAACTCGTTATCAATTTCGCAAGTAGACGCTTTAGGTGCGGCCAGCTTAAAACAAGGTGCATATCAACATGGCTACATGTACGCGGCACGTTTGCATACAATAACGGAGTTAAAGCAAATAGGAAACATGATAAAAGAACTGCTATTAAGACCAAACGATCACAAAGTGTGTGAATCTGTCCTTAAGAAATTGATGGTGGAATGGGAGTTACGATTAAAGGTATAACGGCATTTAATTATCCACAATAGCGCGATTTATTTCTAGATCGTTCACCAATCTCGAAAAATCCAAGAATCTATCTTAAGTTTGAGACGGGTGGGAATTCTTCAAGCGAAAACCATTTTAAGGGATAGAGTACCAAACTCTTTAAATTTGCTCAATTCAATTTTGGGCGAATCTTGGTTACGCAGCGCTACCATCGCAAGGGCGTCCGGTGTAAGTGTCTAAAGCTTTTCGATGATCGAATGCGGCAGTCTAAAACTTGCAGGTTCACCAGCAAGCGTTTACTTACACATTGAAAGCGGACGACTACTCACCACCACGCTTATTTCTTGAAAAAGCTCAGCTGCACTGGATGAGAGAGGAGCACCAACAAGCTTTGAGTGTCTTACGAAAGGGGGTTGAGAGATTAATTCCGGATGCGATAGGAACCCCATCATTCTCCTGCGGCAACAATGATTTGGACATAAAGTAAATATATTTATTTATTTCAAATTATACAATTATACAATACAGTAATGGTTATTTGCATAAAAGTCAAGATAACTTTGGGGCCAAGTACTTTAATTTCCGAGTCTAGTAGTGGCATTTTACTGACGAGTTTTGTGTGTAATTTTACCCGAAATGAAAATATAATAATATAAGTCTATAAACAATTTAAAATTTTAGTTATAAGTGAGAAAAATCATAAATAAAATATAAACAAGTAAAGGTAAACAACTAAAGAGTATACTACACAGGCAGGTACACAGATTGGGTATTTTATCTGTGGGCAGGTACATTGACAAAAAACACTTTTTTCTAATCATGATGTAACATTCCATTACATCATGTTTTTTTTAATTCGTAAACTGCATTTTGTCTACACTACTTGACATCATCTTTCTGAATCAAAACCACATTGATGAAATTAAAAAAATTGTCAATAGCTTCCCTATTTTTGTCTTTAGAACAATATGACATACTTTCACTTAGTGAGGATATTCTATACATTAGAAAATAGTGCGTTTTTGTCGATATTTTGAGATTACGACTGTCCATTGTTTTTCGGTTTTCACCATTGCAATCGGGATAAAGGTAACCTACTTTTCGTGCATTTTTGACCATACCATTTCTGATTTTACAAACATTTTCCCAAAATTGACTCAAATATGGCGCACCCGAAGCGAGGGATGAAAAAATCTTTAAGGGTATACCGTTGTTAAAACTTACTAATTTGATGTATAATAATTAAAGGTACTGTCTGGATTACAACTGGAAAAGATGCCTTCCATAACTAGATCAAGTTAACTAATAGAACAACCTTAGTTTTCACTTTGCTTCTTGCAGGAAAATTTCGGCAGAAGCAAAATTACTGATTGCCTCCTACAACGATTCAGTGTCAAACGTCGACGCTCACGTGAATAAACAGCACTACAAAGACGCGGTCGACAATTTCAATCAATGGGAAAAGAGTCTAGTGTGCCTTGCGCAGTATTACGACCGCCTTTCTCAATCGTTACCTGACAGCGAGAGGGAGAAGGAAGAAGGTGACATGAAAGTGCTCATGATTAATTACTTCGGAAGATCGCTGCTTTACGGTAGCGAGTACGTCTATCAGTCCATGCCGCGAATGCTTAGCATTTGGTTCGACTATGGCACGGGCGTCTCCAACTTGGCGAGTGGAATTACGGTCAGCAAATCCGGGGGAATTGGAAAGATGGAACGCGAAAATACCCTTACCCAGATGACGAACCTAATCGATACGTTCCTCGAGAGGTTACCCTCTTATATATTCTTAACGGCATTTTCACAGATTGTGTCGAGAATATGCCACCCACAGAAGCAAGTGTCAATTGAGCTAAGAAATATTATTGTCAAATTAGTTTTGCAATATCCTCAACAAACTCTGTGGATGTTAATATCGATGATAAAATCGAGGTGTGCGATCCGATTGAAGAGGTGCACCGAAATTTTGAAAGAAGTACGCTCCAAGTCGTCCAACATGGGCAGACTGATAGGAGACTTTACTAAATTGGCAGAGAAATTAATCGAACTGTGTAACAAGGAGATACCTGACAATATTCGAGTCGCCTCAGTAGGTTCCGTATTGCAGTCACTGCCAAGGTAACTATAGGCATCAGCGTCATTGCTTTGGTAAGTCGAAATTGTTGCAGAATGTTGAGCAATAGTGACTTCAGTGAGATAATGATACCGACACAGAAATTTCGAAAACTTATCTTACCGAATCCGGATTTTCAAAGCAGTCAGCATAATCCCTTTCCAAATCGATACGTTCATATTGTGGGAATTGAGGACAAATTTACAATATTGGAAAGTATGCAGCATCCCAGGAAAATCACCTTTAGGGGATCAGATGGGAATAAGTAAGTATTATGATATTTCAGAGTTTTGCAAAATTGAAACAAAAATGAACGCTTACAATAATTAAAAACCAAAATTTGATATCATTTTTTTTTAAAGTAGAGAGAATGGTGACGTATGCTTTTGTTCAAGCCACTTTTAAGGGGAATATTTTTTATTGATTGATTATTTGCTTAAATATTCCCTATTGGGGAATTTAATCAGGAAAAAATTATAAGTACCATTTTTTTAATGACCACATGTAAGAGAAGATGGAGAAATACCTATATAGGAACATTTTCTTAAAGTTTCTTGATTTTTGCGATAGTACTGTTATAATTGTGGAGAAAATTCTGTTTTGGAATGCATGTTTCGTCCCCTAACGAAGATTGTACCTACGCTTTTGCTTCTTGCCATTCTTGTTGGACAGAAGTCATTTGAAAAGGCTAACTAAAGCTCTAAATTACTATCACATAAATGTGCTTACTAGTTTTTCTGTGTGCTGAGAAATTCATATGCATATAAAAACATTCCACGTCCACCCACAGGTACACCCAACTTTTGAAACCAAAGGATGATCTCCGAAAGGACTTCCGTCTAATGGAATTCAACGACGTCGTAAATCAAATGCTATCAAGAGACCCTGACTGCAGACAAAGGCGATTGCACATTCGGCTGTATTCGGTCGTACCATTAAACGAAGAGTGTGGAATATTGGAGTGGATACATAATTTGGTCGGATTACGTCCCGTTTTGCAAGATTTGTACAAACAGAGAGGTAGGGTTTGTTCATAACCATGCAGTTGTTAACGAAAGGCACTTAGGTTTAGGTATGAGCGGAAGAGACATAAAGAACGTTATCTGCAATCAAAACGATTCGTTGGCAAAGAAAAGGGACGTGTTTACTAAATGTTTACTGCCAAGAAATCCACCGATTTTCAAAGAATGGTTCAGGAAAACGTTTCCCGATGCGCAGAGCTGGTTAACCGCGCGAACGGCTTACATACATACGACTGCGGCAATATCGATGGTCGGCTATGTATTGGGATTGGGAGATCGTCATGGTGAAAATATTTCCTTTGATTCCACCTGTGGTGATACGGTTCATGTCGATTTTAATTGTCTGTTTAATAAAGGTAGTTTTGTACTACCCAAAATCGATTTTAATGTACCTTCCACCATTTAGGGGAAACATTCCAGTGGCCGGAACGTGTACCCTTCAGACTTACACATAATATGGTTGCAGCGATGGGTCCCTTAGGTGTGGAGGGAATGTTTCGCAAATCGTGCGCCTGTACACTGACAGTTCTTCGAGCACACACAAACACGTTAATGTCAATCGTAGCACCGTTCGTCTATGACCCTTTAGTGTCATGGTCGCGAAGGGCAGTGCCTAATATGAATGTTGGGGAGCAACCGAACCTACAGGTATGTACTAAACAGTCAGTTAAGTGAATAAAACAATACGTGTGTGCAGGCCGTTGAACACTTGGCAAACATTGAAGAGCGACTTAAGGGTATAATAAAATCAAAGCGTAAGTCGACCATTTCAATACCGTTGTCAGTTGATGGGCAGACTAATATTTTAATTCAAGAAGCCATGAGCATCGATAATTTATGCCAAATGTATATTGGATGGGGAGCCTACCTGTAATGTTATAAGCGTATAAGAGTTATTTTTTGTTTTAATTTTGTAAGAGTTACTTTTTTTTATTAAAATTACTTTTCATGATCCTGCCTAACTGGTTACACGATTAAGATAAATTGCATTTATCAATGTGCAGGAATAACGTGTGCAACACCACTTGCTCATTATTACAAATGTGTGATTGCCATATCCAACTCATGCAAGTTGGCCTCTCAAAGAAATAGTTTTCAAAAAAGAAACTAAACTATTTAGTATAAGTACTAATTTATTTTCTTTTCTTTTGACTCTAACACAATACGTATTCTAACAAAATGTTGAAATACACTTTGCAAATTCCTTTGTGTACTCTCCGTAATTTGCCTCAGCCTCCCATCACCTAGCCCCGCCACTAACTTGGCAACACGGTCAGATACACATTTAATAATAACCACGGTGTTAATTATACCTAAAATAAAAACCTATTATCTACTACATGTGATCTCAACATACCATCATTGACTTCGTACAATTCTATTTGTGGTTTCATTTGGTAGGGAATTTCCTGAGGTAGAAAATCGAGCAAGGTCGCCTTGACTGTATTTTCTATGATTTTCTCAGGTGACTGATCAGTAAACATTTCCTCCGGATATAGCCATTTACCAGGTTTTGCCGCTCTTATGAGATACTGCTTGAGTTCATTCAAACCGGTACCTGCAAAAATTGATATTTCTTAACCCTTGGGAAAATCTAGTACCTGTTAATGCAGACACCATGAAAATGTCTTTAAAGTTGGGCCATCCCTTTTTTTCTATATCCAGAGGTTCTTCATTTTTGCCGATCGGTTTTCCAGCAAGCGAGTTGTGTGTTAATAGACGAACAATGTCGAGGAGTTTACGTTTTGATTTTAAAACGTCGACCTATAGTGATAGAAATGAGGTTATGTCGATCATAATGTGTGCATACCTTGTTAAGTACTAGAAAGCTTTCCTTGTTTTGGTGCTGTTCAAGTAGCCGCAGAATTTTAATATCGAGTGTATTGCGTGTCCAAGAATTACTGACGTCGTGGATGACACTGATCAAATCACACTGCTGAAGAGATATGTTGCTGTCCTTAATGAAGGAATTTTCCAAATTGTGCCTGCAACCTCGTATTTAAAATCCGGTGAATTCAGTTGGCGCACCTACCTTCTACGCACATTGTTATTTACCAGGCCCGGAGTATCGAGGAAGACAATTTGAGTGTTTCCATGTGTAAATATTGCAGATGCCTTGGTACGAGTTGTGTGCACCTTGGAAGACGTGGGGCAAACTTTACGGTCCATTAAATAGTTGATGAAAGTGCTTTTACCAGCATTTGGCATCCCTATTACCGCAACTTTCACAAGTGATTGCGATTCATGCGAATTTTCGTGCTCTTTGTAAGCACTATTTTGTAATGTGTTGCATTTTCGTATAATTTCTTTGGATATATATAGACGAAAATGGATTTTACTTAATTTAAAACAGTTCATTGTGTATTTGTTACGTATAGGTTATATTTTGTAGTCCATGTAGTGTAGTGTAGGTTTATTGAACTAACAGTTCGAAGCATATGAACTACCAGTATTTGAAGAACCAAATTGCATTTAGTAAAATTTTTCACGGTGCATTGCGTAATGTAATACTATTGTTTTTTAAATAAACAAAGGTAATACGCAGTAACAACAACAGAGATTTAATTCCCGTTTTTCTATTACTTTAAATAGTTTAAACAAGAACTAAATTAACATTTATACAATGTAAACGGAGAAACAGGTTACGTTTATACGCATACTGGAATATAATTGGGGACAAATTTCACCATAAAAACTAAAAAGAAAAACCCTAAAGAAATACGTTATCGTACGTTTTTGCCGGTATATACCTGCATCAATTCACCATTTTGCATTAGGAAATTTGCGAAATTCAATAGTCGAAAATGCCGAAAAATAAGCCGATTAAGAAGCAAAGCGAATCTTCAGATTCCGACTCTGGCCCTGAAGATGTAAGTTTTAACGGTTTCCACATTCTAACCTTGTCAATTCCTATTACAAATTTTAGAGAGGCCCCGCAAAGAAACAGAAGGTCGCATCCTCGGAAGAGAACTCGTGGTCGTTAGGCAAAAATCGTTTCGTTAAATTGACGGAGTTTAAAGGAAAGTGGTATGTTAATATCCGGGAGTTTTACGATGCTGATGGTGAGTTAAAACCCGGCAAGAAGGGCATCATGCTCACTATGGAGCAGTGGCATAAATTTAAGGAGATTGTACCCGAACTTGAGGAAGCTGTTAAGAGGAATGTGTAAATTAATTAATGTAAAGGTTTTGATCAGAATTACGTTTTGTTTTTCTTGTATGTAAGGTCTTATTTCTTAATGTATTTAGAAAATTATAAATAAATGGTCCTTTATTGAATATGGGAGTGTGTTTGATTTCATGGAGGTCTGCGTCTCATTTATGTAGACATTAGAACATACGATTATAGGATTATAGACTTATAGAGTAATAAGTGTTCTGTTACTGGCATTCTTTCCTGGCGAGAGTCGAGACTAATATTTTGTTAAACCTTGGCAATTTATTGTTCAAAAATTCTGGTGGCGATTATCTTTTTGTGCATTTTCACATAAAAATTGTTTTCTAATGAAGAGAACTCGATTAACTACCCACCCCCAGCCCAGAGGTTCGTGTTATTTTAAATGCAGCATATTTTCAAAACAATTGTAACGTTATAACATCTATCGCCAGATGTCGCGCTATTACAAGTTTGGGATTAAATTAAATATTTTAAATTTGGTCAATTTTTGTTATCAAAAACGCTCATATTCATTCGTATTCGTACGCTTGGTGCGGATAAACATAATCTAAGAGATGATGTGGAATTTATGTAATTGCGTATTCCGAAATCTTAATTATAACTTTTGATTGAGAAGTCTGATCGAAAAAGTACGAATTGTTTTGGATTCTACGCACCAAAATTAATAAGAAAAAGTGTTTTCCCAAGAAATTTTGGTGTAGTCGATTTTTGGCAAAAAAGGAAGGTAATACACTGCCTTTTTTTGAGGCCCGCAAAAAAAATTGTCTCAGATCGACCCGGAAAAAAAATTTTCTTATAGACTGTGGCCTGTAGAATCCATAATTTCAAACAGTTCCAAGATTGGGCTACTATTTCAAAAGGTACAGCCCTTTATACTTGAACTTGAAAGATCCACACGAATATACAGATTACTGCTTTCATAGAAGCAGGGCTGCTTTCTTGGCTAACGAAGGTGCCGATTTTTTTTGTCTGTTAAAAGGCATGGTGGATTTAGATCTTCAGCATTTACGGAAGGTGAGCTATCCAAAACAAGATACAGGTAGCACAAATTTTAATTTCTGCGACAGGCCCATGCGATGGAACCCGCATAACTATATATCGTTCCTACGTACGACGTTTCGAATCAGTGTTTGAGTAATACAGTTAGTAATGAACTTTTTTAGTAATAAACGCATAAAAAATTTCTTTATGGTACAAGCTTCGACACCATAACGAACCAAATAGCGAAAAAAGTAGAACAATAGCTCTTAAGATAAAGAACTAGTAGCGTCTCAAGGAAGGAGCGTACGGACGGACGGACAAAGTGGCCACAATAGCGCGTTTTTTTATTTTTGTGGAAATGCGCTAAAAAACGCCAAAATGAAAGTGGCACAAAGGAATTTTACGAATGAGCGCTGTGCATTTTATTGGATTATTGTAAATTGCTGTTGTAAACAAATACCTACTCATACAATGTAATGCGTGCGACTTCTTCCTGTAAAATTATAAATAGGAGAACGGAGAAGGCAAATGCGTCTGACAAATTCAACCATTACACATTATTCCGCCAGCTATGAAAATCAGCAGGTGTAAAATTGATGTTAGAGCGTCTCTGAAAATAAAATAAACAGAAGAGTCGATCAGGATAGCACACTTTCGCCCAAGTGTGTGATCTGACATTTACGATGCTTTCTACGTTGTGTTATTTTGAAAAGTGTATATAGACATCTTACTTTTCCCAGTATCCATTACTGTAACGAGCGTCAAAGTTTTACCTTAAGCCATATTGTCGACTGTACGAGTCCCTTTTGTTTGAGGTTTGAATCAGAGCTGGGCAGTATTCGATTTTGTAAATACTTTTTAGTATTCAAATCCTTTAAAGTATCAAATACTTTGTAATTAAATACTTTTATGGAAGCAGTATTTGTATTTGTAACTCAAATACTTTCACAAATATTTAGTAAGTATTCGAATACTTCGCAAGTTATTTGAATACTTTGAGAAGTATTCGAATACTTCGCATAGGATTTGAATACTTAACCTTCCTTTTTTTTACCAAAAATCGACTAGAAACCAATTTCCTCCAATTTGCCCAAAAAAGAGCAGTGTATTGCCTTCCTTTTTTACCAAAAATCGACTACACCAAAATTTCTCGGGAAAACACTTTTTCTTATTAATTTTGATGCGTAGAATCCAAAACAATACTTTTTCGATCAGACTTCTCAATCAAAAGTTAGAGAAACATAAAACATACACTTTTAATTCTTGAGTTAAGTGTTTGGCCAATATGTTGCACAAAATAATTTTGAATTTAATTGAAAGGGATTCATCTCGATTAATCTCATTTTAGAATGCTAATTTTTTCGATTTGGGTCCCTTTTCTACTGAACTGGAAGCAATAGCAATCGAATAACCATTTTACAGCAAACACTATTACACCCATTTTCTTGCATACGGCTTCGATAATTTTTCTGCTAAAGTTGTCGACGTATCTATCGAAAATTAAAAATTTCACTAATTGAAGTGCCCCTTGTTCTCCAATATCGATCGCTGTCGGTTGGAGGTTAAATTTTAAACTTATCTATAGAGAAACATCAGTTCGATTATATCGGAAGAACTTTATATTAATATAAATTTGCTGCTAGTTTTATTAAAGACTCCATAAACTTAGGACATGCAATTTTTCATAGCTGTTTTATGAGAGTTTTACGTTTGCAATCTTTGGAACTTCAATTTTCTCAAAGAAAAACGATAAAAGAGAATGCACAAGCATGTACTGCAGTACAAGCGAAATAGTTTTGGGAAGCTTGTTATACAACACCGAACTTGGAGGCATTTTGCTTTCTTTGCACCTTTGCTATTAGAAATTGGAAAAAGCATGTAGGTACCTACAGTTATTTGTAGAGAGTGTTTTATCGCAAAAACGAGAACAGTGCAAGGCTTGCAACAATCCACAATTATTGCGCGCTATTTACTGAAAAGAGATTTGTTTCATATTTATTCAGTGATTAAATATGCAGGTATGAATGACATAAAAAATTTCGCAAACTTAAAGTAGACGGAAATTTATTAATTAAGGGTTGTTTAAATGTTGGTTACAGATTATTTAAACATAATCTAACAAATAATCAAAAATATTCGGTGTACTACGTAAAGAACAACCCCCGCAATACAAGAGTGCCTTACATGCAGGTATGAATGAATTAAAAAATTTGGCAAACCTAAGGTACACGGAAATTTATTAATTAAGGGTTGTTTAAATGTTGGTTGCAGATTATTTAAACATAATCTATCAAATAAACAAAAATGTTCGGTGTACTACGTAAAGGAACAACCCCCGCAATACAAGAATGCTTTACATGCAGGTATGAATGAATTAAAAAATTTGGCAAACCTAAAGTAGACGGAAATTTATTAATAAAGGGTTGTTTAAGGGTTGGTTACAGATTATTTCAACATAATCTATCAAAAACACACAAATGTTCGGTGTACTACGTAAAGGAACAACCCCCGCAATACAAAAGTGCTTTACATGCAGGTATGAATGAATTAAAAAATTTGGCAAACCTAAGGTACACGGAAATTTATTAATAAAGGGTTGTTTAAGGGTTGGTTACAGATTATTTAAACATAATCTATCAAAAACACACAGATGTTCGGTGTACTACGTAAAGGAACAACCCCCGCAATACAAGAATGCTTTACATGCATCAGGTATGAATGAATTAAAAAATTTGGCAAACCTAAAGTAGACGGAAATTTATTAATAAAGGGTTGTTTAAGGGTTGGTTGCAGATTATTTAAACATAATCTATCAAAAAAACACAAATGTTCGGTGTACTACGTAAAGGAACAACCCCCGCAATACAAAAGTGCTTTACATGCAGGTATGAATGAATTAAAAAATTTGGCAAACCTAAGGTACACGGAAATTTATTAATAAAGGGTTGTTTAAGGGTTGGTTACAGATTATTTAAACATAATCTATCAAAAACACACAAATGTTCGGTGTACTACGTAAAGGAACAACCCCCGCAATACAAGAATGCTTTACATGCAGGTATGAATGAATTAAAAAATTTGGCAAACCTAAAGTAGACGGAAATTTATTAATAAAGGGTTGTTTAAGGGTTGGTTACAGATTATTTCAACATAATCTATCAAAAACACACAAATGTTCGGTGTACTACGTAAAGGAACAACCCCCGCAATACAAAAGTGCTTTACATGCAGGTATGAATGAATTAAAAAATTTGGCAAACCTAAGGTACACGGAAATTTATTAATAAAGGGTTGTTTAAGGGTTGGTTGCAGATTATTTAAACATAATCTATCAAAAAAACACAAATGTTCGGTGTACTACGTAAAGGAACAACCCCCGCAATACAAGAATGCTTTACATGCAGGTATGAATGAATTAAAAAATTTGGCAAACCTAAAGTAGACGGAAATTT